AAGTCAAGGCAGAAGGCTACAAAAAAAATCTTGCACAGGACATGCAAATGATCCTTTACTTGCAGAAGGTGAAGAACACAGATGTGCACCAGCCAGTTCCTGAGCAGAGCTGTTTGAAGCCAGTTGTAACATCCCAGTCCTGCTCTGGAGACACTTAATCATTATCAGTCAGTTTAGAGTCATCTGAAGTTAATATGTTGATTTCTGCTGACTGAGGTCCTGACCCAAAATTCACAGAATTACAGGATGGCTGAGTTTAGAAGGGACCTCTGGAGGGCATCTTGTATCAAATTTAGATAGATCTTTTGATACAGTAATATACAGTTTTCTTTCCTCTAGCAAGAGACCCGAAAGAACAGCCAGTTCAGGGATACATCAGGAATTCTGGACCACAACTGAACAAAATGCAGAAAATAGGTTCCTTCCTACTTGGTGGTAGCATTTTATTTAATGCTCTAGATAACCCTAAACTTTATAAGTTTACCAAAATATGGATGATGATGAAACAGCTTAATGTAACAGACAAATTATTCATGTGAAAAGAATAATCATATCTTATATGGATCAGCTCAAAGATGAAGAGGAAAAAAAAGACAAGCAGAAAGAAAAGAAGCTCAAGCAACTCAAGTACTTTTTTATTCTTATTTTTATCACCTCATTGTTGTTTGCTGTTAATTCCTTATTATTTGTACCACTGTAGCAGCAAAGCTTCTGATGAGAAAATGATGATGTTTTCTTACAGCAACTGGAATTGGTGTAGATTTTTGAATTTAAAAGTGTCACTCTCCTCCAGCTGGCTGGCAGGTAGATTTAAGGATTTGGTCTGAATCAACCACTAGTTTCCACTTGTGATAGCCACATGAATCCTGGCAGAGCACCAACTCCTGGCAAGCTTAGCCAGTACCTACCTTTGCCTTGGGGCTCACTGAATCCACATTTCTAGGAAATATTTGTACAGCCATCTGAATTATTTTAATTATGTACTAGGTAATATTCCTCTCCACATTGTTCCATCTTAACATCCTGTCCCTACATTTTTAAAAGTGCACTTGAATGATCCTCAAGTCCTAATTGAAAAACAAATTTTCAATGCAGAATTAAAAACAATCTGAAAACAGATTATGTATCATTATCCCACCTGGAAGAATGCAACAAACATCATAATCCTATCGCACTTGCAATACAGTAATGAAGTTAAAATTGGTCTTAGTGCTGTTAAAAGGAAGCTTCTATTCAAGAGACAACACAGTAGTAAGAAAAAGGTATCATTTACTCCAGCACAGTCCTGCCTAAATGCTGGCTGAGGTTTCCATGGTTAACTTAAATTAAAATTAATTCCATATTTTTTGACAGAAGGTATATAAAGTAATTTTCATATTTTCTTCTTCAACCATAATTAAAAAGATGAGGAAAAGGCTTCATATGCCTCAAGTATGAAGGTATATTACAGCAGACATTTTTGGTCTTGAATGGCTCTAACGCTTATGTTAATTGAGACTAAATTAAATGGGAAAGCAGAGTGTCATTATTGCCTTCCTGTGATTATACAGTTAACAATACATATAACCCTGTGCCTACAAGGCAGTAACAGCCTGTGTGCTAGACTTGGTTGCTTGCTCTAAAAGGAAGTGAACCTTAATGCAGATTTGATCTTCATTCATCAAACACTTCTTTTGCAAGAATTATTAACCAGTAATTCAGAAACAAGAGAAGATTGTGGGGGAATATAAAAGACTTTTTGTAGCAATTTTCAACAGATAGCCATAGTAAAGATGTGAAACATACAGTATCAAAGGGAAACATAAAATGAAGAGCAGTTTAGCTTGTGTTCACATGCAAGATCTACTTTGTGAGTGAGCAGACAGGTTCAATGCGTGAGAAGACACAAATGGTATGGGTCTATCAGGATGCAGAGACATGACACATGCTTCCAAAAGAATCCTCTCAGCAGATTAAAACCATTCTCATTCCATAAAGGCCTTCTGATGACTTCCCAGAAGGGAGTCCACAAGTGCACAATCCCAGATTAAGGTCATCCTGCTTACGAGCACTCAAAGGCATGACATCACATTACAGACAGCTTTAATAAAAGCTGTCAGAATTCACTGATTCATCATCTTACTGGCTTCTGCTAATAAATCCACTGTTTTCAGCCCTTCACAAGTTTGATTCCCCATTGTTTCTTAATCAAATATGTATATAATTTACAATTAATTGAAAAAGAAGAAATCCAAACATGGAATATAAGTTTTTCTACACTTTGCTTTTAGAATTAGTCCTGAATATCCTGAAACTCGGTGACAATTTATTAACCTAGAGTTTCTACAACTGCTACAGAGAGAATAATCTCTCTTCGAGGCATTCTAGGTTAGATAAATCACATTTCACTCTGGTGGATGAAGTACAAATCTTGATTTTGGAAATACACCTGGGGAGGCCGGAAAAGAAAAGCACAAGTGTGTTTTCCTAAGACCTGTTCAAACCCTATGGTCTCACCTGCTTTCCCATCCTCTCAGCCTAAAAGGCTGATACTTTAAAAAGTAAACTTAAAAAAAAGGCTTTGGGTTGAAATAATAGGCATGTGCCATGTGTGGACTGGAATATATTGGCCTAGCTTTGTGAACAGCACTGACTCCAAAGTCAGTTCTATAACCACTCTTCACTGGGGAAAGAATTCATAAAATAAAGCTGGGGGATCTTTTTAGCATTTTGAATTCTCCACCAGCAAATAGAAACCTTCACTCAAAGTAGAGGAGCTTGCTTCGACTAATTTTAAAATATACAAACAGAAGCAACCCTATTAAAAGTCTTAAAATGACATTTATTCAGTCAATGTGATAAGAAAGAATTCTATTACTTGGAAAGTGCTTTTCTCACTCTCACCTTTCAATCATTATTTGCATACAACCCAAACCACATCTGAATAAATTCCACTGGCCTTCCTTACGTACCATTCAGCATTATTTATATTCATGTAGGATTACTAGTGTACAGAATATCCAAATACTTCCCCAAGAGAGCTGACTGCAAATTACAGAGGAGACAGCTTCCTGTGGGAAAACTCCAGAGGAGGAAAGATCCTCAGGTTAGATGTGGAAAGACACAGAAATAGAAGGCTGCTTACCTTCAATAAGTGAAAAGCAATGGCTGGAAGAGAAGAGAACAAAGTGGAAAGTGAGAAATTATCAAAGACTGTGGCTATGTGAGAAGACCATAGAACAAGCAGATGAGAGCATGTAAGATGAAGGAAGTTAATTTGATTTAGACTCATGGACATTTAGCAAGACAGAAATAGCAACCCTGCATGGGGGGGAAACTGCTAATTTTGCTAAAGATAGGGCTAGGAGTTAAATTCTCATCTGACAGGCTTTCTGGTTAATGGCAGGGATGTCACTCCATCTATATCTCAGTTCCTCATCAATAAAGTAGGATGTTGTACAGAAAAGCCACAAATTATTCAGGGGACAGTCAAGTTATAAGGGCACTATGTGAACCTGCAGAGACATCTCTACCTAACAGATCCCTAATGAAGAACAAGAAAAGGAGAGAGAAGGAGAGAGGGCCTAAAGTGACACAACCTGCCTGAATTTTAGAGAGGAACACAGATGTTACAGACAGACTGTGACAGATGGATGTACAACCACAAGAAAAAGAGAGAAACCTCTGAACAAAAAAGGCCTGGAGAGGAAGAAAAATTTCACCGAGAAGTGTGACAATATAGAGAAAGATATATCCAAATGACCAGGCTGACTAAAGTTAAGAGCAGAACAAATCTCTGAGTGTCTCCTCAAAGGAAAGCTTTCTAATTTCAGGACAGTGTTACTTGATCACCAGCTACTGCTAGGTGTAGTGGGCACAGTCTATTATTACCAAACATAAAGAAAAAAAGCATGGGGAAGTTACAGACAGGAAGAAATAGGGTTCCTGCTTGGGGTGGAAGAAGGGAAGGGATGGAAAGTTTCTTCAAGTATAGAGAAAATGGGGAAAAGCCACACGTCACATATAACAACTTCAGCCTAAGAAGTCTAAAAATATATACTTCCTTTCAAGTGTGAGCTATGGGCAGAATGGGGGGCAGCTGGTACTAGAAGTTATTAAGTAAGATGTAGGCAGTCACAAGATGAAACTCATGTACCAAAAGAAGCAAGCAAAGGTGATGAGAGGTTTGCAAACAGACTGACTGGTTGCAGAGAGGATCAGAGGGACAGAGGAGATCAGACAGCTAATCAGAGAAAAAAATGTTTCCCAAGGGCACAAAAAGCCCTCCCGTACACATGGGAGTTTGTTTGAGCAGGTTTGAGCATACAAAGGGTCCAGAGGGAAGCAGGGAATGGATGGGACTGAAGCAGCACACAGTGGCAGTATTTCCTTGTAAAATGGTGAGCAGCTGCTGGAACTCTGGTCATTCACCCTCATTATTCCTTCTAACCATCTCCTGATAATGAGCTTTCCAAGGTGAGTGTAATCAAGAGCATATGTACAAATTCTTGCTAACTCAAACTTCCTTCTTTGCTATTTACTATTTTCAGGTATGACTAATATACAATAGCTGTGGGAGGCATGTCCTGGTCCCAAGCAGACTGCTCCTGCCCTGCGAAGTCTAAAAGCACAAAACAGATCATGTGTGGGAGAAAGCAAATAATACCATCTCCATGTTACAGACTGAGAACTGAGGAAGAGAGCTAGTAAGGGATTTTCCAAAGATTTCAAAGGAAGTCAGTGGTAAGTGGATATGGAAACCCTCTCTTCAATATCCACCTGGTGCTTCAGTCACAAGGACAATGTGTCTCTTCTAAGGACACCCTTTTCATCCTCAGAGTGTTCTGGTAACAAGAATCTTTGACTGAATGTGTATATTGAGTGTATATAGCTTAAGGTCTTATTGAACCATGTTGTAATTTTGCCTCTATTTCCAGCTTCCTTGTAGCCACTTTTGGTCTGAGCTGAAATTAGCAGTGCTACCAACTCCATCCACAAAGCCAACTTTTATATGTACTTACAGCTCTGTTGGTGAAGTTACTAAAATCTGCCACTAAGATTTGCTTGATCATCTCTGGTGAGGAGACCACCACAAACATCTGGCAACCAATGTAATACCTAGAAAGAAAAAAATAATAATTTTAGCAGATGGTGACCACAGAGAACTATCTCCTTCCCTAAAATATCTCTTTTTGCTCGAATATACATGCAGTGAACAAATATCACAGAAAATGTATTTCCTTGGGTAAAGCAGTATCTTTCCAGCCCTCACAACTATTAAATAAGGATGCATGGACCTGGAATTTAAAGGAAACAGCTTAAAATCTTTTACTGATTAATCATTACTCAGCCAACATTTTAACAGAAAGGTTTACACACTCTATGCTCATTCTGAATTCTGTGCAAAGTGCTGTAGTATCACTAAACCAAACTGTAGAGGAGCAAAACATTAGAAGCCAACTGAAATAATCATGACAGTCCTACAAAATTGCATTTCTTGACATGAGCCACATGAAATGTCTTTTCATGGCTAAGCCCTACCTCTAATGAGTCCCCCCAGCGTGACTGTAGTAAAGCACATTTCCACCACTTCTATTAGCATTGGAACTGAGTGCATCTCAGACTCTGCATTGCCAAGGACAAACCTTACATTACATGAATAGGGAGGGGGGAAAAAGTCTGACCAAGTCTAAGGGAATTAGTAAAATTTCAGAAGAAGAATAGGTGATAGGGGTGTCTCTGCCTGTACACACTTTATCCTCCCTGCTCCCATTTCAGTATGACCTTGTAGAGCCAGGTTCTGCCCTTCTGGGCCTTCACACCATTTTGGAAGCTGCAGAGTCACTGGGACCTGTCCCAACCCTACAACTTCTAAGGGCACAGAGCTCCCTTTCCAGCAGCATTCCTTCCAAGGCCCACAAGCACTCGATGGTTGGCTGCTCTGCTGGGGGAGAAAGAAGCATGACCAACAAGTAGAGGTCACTTGCAGTCCCTACCTTTGTTGATCACTGGACCAGAAAATCTATTCAGGCAGTGCTGTCTTTTCTCCAGCAGGAGAGAGGAAGAAGAGGTTGGAGGCAGGCACAGGAGAGCCAGGCTGCTTACAGCAGAACGCAGGAGCAATATCACAGAAGCTGCAATACCACAGTAATATCCATGCCTAATCATTTTGGTATGATACAGCTCAGTATCGATATATTGCTTATCACCTGTCTACACTGCAACAACTGAATAGACAAGCAAACCCTGGACTGAATTAAATATAGTAACTAGGGGTTCCCATGGCAATGAAGCTGCAGCAGCCTGATTTCTTCAAGGGCAACCAAATGAAACAAATATCTTGATTCCAAAGCAAGGTTTCACAGTTCAATTTGACTACCCTACCACCAAAACTTGTAACAAAAAAATGGCAAAGAACGCAATCCTTCCTTCAGGAAGGAAGACATCATCTTTTCTTCTTTTGTGGGTTTCCAGAGGGAACTTTTATTTCCCAAGTGCAACCCACAGGCTCTACTGGAATATTAGACATGGGTGGTGTGGTCTACAAGGAAAAAAAGGTTTTTTAACCCTTGTTACAAAAGGTTATTCACCCCTCCCAGTTTGTTCAATCACAGCAAAAGTAGCTGTCTGTAATGGTCAAACTTTTATTCAGAATCTTCATAGGTGCATAAAAAAGAGATGATGCCTCAGACTAAAGAGGGTTTTGATCACAGATTTTAGCAGAAGAGGATAATGCCCTACATGCAACTTTTGTGTGTACTTTGTACAGTTTTTCTAGCATCAGAGAGGCAACTCAAGCTCTCAAGACAAAGACATGTGCTGCTCTGAACCCACCCAGAATGACCAGCCACCAATACTGACCTCTCATGCTCACACCTGGCTTTTCTGTTTCTCTCTCCAAGTTAAGCAAGTTCCCTGTCACATTTATTGGTTAGTGACTGATGGTCCTGCAACAAACAGCTTTTCACAGGGACCAACTTCCTGACATCAGATTCCAAATCTGAATCAGAAGCTGGTTATGTCTACCCAGAGACAGCTTAATGCTGACCAGCAAGGGGCAATGCATCATACATCAGGAAAATATGTGTGTAAGAGAGACACACTTCTAATTTATTTCAAACCTGGGAAATTGTAAAGCTCCAGCTCCTGTCCACTGGGATAACAGGACGCTACCCACAGCAGGAGTCTTTATGTCACAGTCTGCTTTGTGCTTGAAAGCATTCAGGACTAAAAATTTGGGACAGGAGCATCTCCTACTCAAGCTTCTTTTATGAGAAAGTGACTCACAAGCCAAGCTTATGCAAACAAAATCTATTCATCATCCTCCAACTCAGACCAGTCACCCAGTTCTGTTTCCACAGCTAAGCTCGCTCTTTTTTATTTACTCTTCGCTAACTTTCTAGCTATAGGCACCTGCTTCTCCTTTCTTTATGCAGTTATAAATTAAGGCAGAGAAGGAAAAGAAGGGGTGGGGGTGAAATCCCCTACACCTAATAAATTGAAAATTCTAGGGAAAAAAAAAAAAAAAACAAACAACAAATTACTTAAGTTGATTTTTAAGCTAAGTTCTGCCTTTTTTTAAGGAATGTTTGCTAAAAAGTACACACATTATTGGATCTCAACCAGCAAAAGCTCTCCTCCTGCCTTTTTTCCATTCTCCTCCTTTCTGTATACAATCTTTCCAGCCTTTTCTAGGACACAAAAAGATGAGGCTGTATATGGGCATACTCTGGAAGTCAAAATTCATAAGTCAAAAGCATTACTTCCATGGTCTTTCCCTGAAGTTAAGAAAAAAGGACAAATAGAACTAAGTGTGAAACAAGATCACGTGAGCTATTGCATTCAGCAAACACAGGTTTGGAACCTGAAAAGCTGCCAGAAAGATGCTTAACTGAGTTTTAATATATTTTAAATCCTTTGTAGGATCAAGGCCTCAATTACAAAACAAGAGGCTATCTCCCAACTAGGTGTTTTGGGTTTTTTTCACTTGTTTCAAAATAGCGAGTAAAAGATAAAATCCTCCTGAACAATGATCTATTCTTCCCAAGTAAATGACATATCCACCCCTGCCATGTAACTTCATTTTGATTCTGTATTACTGGATGAGGATATCACTAGTCTCATGTAGATTTAGATTTATTATTGAACAAAACCTGATATTCTTGTCAGATTTTAATAAATAAGTATTTGAGAAAAACAAAAGCCTCTGGGCAAGTACATTGCAAATGGATTCATGAATAATTTAGGACAGTACTTTTTATTAACTTTTCCTAGGTTAATCTTTCCACAGGGCTCATTCACACATAGAAGTCCTACCTTTAGCTACAGTACCATTACACTTAGCCCAGCACTTTATAATGTTTTCATCTAGGGCTTTTAGGGTGTAAAGCAAATACTTGGAAATACCTGGCCTGCTCCTGCAGAGAAGCAAGAATTCATGCATATAGTATGACACCCTTGGGGAGATGCATCTCTGTCCACATGGAAATCAGTTGTAACACTACCACACCAGCAAAAATAAATTTCATAACCCACACATGGAGACAAATTTTCCTGTGTAGACAAGGCATTGGTTAATTAAGTTATGCTGTTGAGGCAATTTCTATTATATTTCAGTTTAAACTGCAGCCCTCCAAAACAGCAAAAGAAATCCGCATTTTAGACCAGTAGCTTTAGCTCCATTGGAAGGTGAGGCAGAAAAGACCTGACACCAGTACATAAACAGCACAAGTACAGTGTGAGCTTCCTACAGCAGATGAAAATGTGGATGAAGAACCATTGTCCCAGCAGGCTGCCAGTGCACAAGCCAGCAGCCTTGTGCTGCATCATCCCCAGGAAGGCCAGGCAAAAGGGCTTTTACAAGCATTCAGCAGAGGGCATGGATCTATTCCCAGAAGTTGTGAAAAAAGTAAAGACTGCCAAGGGGCTTGCAGGTCAAGGAGGTGGTTATATCACAGGGTATTGAACAAAATAAGCCAAATTTCATCAGAAGTGTTTCAATAACTGCAGAGGCTACAAACACCCTCCACACCCAGCTGCAGCAGTTTCACTCCTAAGAGCAGACAAGCGTCCCTCTTAAGGCAATTAATGAGACAGACAGAGATGAGTACCTTGTGCTCAGGGTTCACCCAAGGATGCTGCAGTCCTCTTTACAATGCTTTAGTAATTCGCTAAACACATCTTTTCTTTTATCCACAAGAATAAACAGCAATCCAGCAATGATATCTGCAGGTTTGCTCATGCACCACCGTTGCTTTCTGCAGAGATGTGGCCTAAATGTCTCAACCCCACCTAGTGCCTGCCATGGCCAGGGCCACAGAAGATAACCCATGGAGGCAAGAGATGCCTGCCAAGCCCAACTCTGAGCTGAAGTAGGAGTGATGAGACAAGGGGTATGTTGGACTGCCTAGTCTCTCCTAAAACACTTCGGCCCATCATTTTCCTTCCCAATGTTTGACAGGGATCCCCCCAGAATGCAGATTTTTGCTCTCAGATGACACAGAGGATTAATCAGCTACTTTTAATTTGAGAGATCAATTTAGCATCATGCTCCCAAGATCATCCTGGCCACACTGCATAGTCATCTGCTGCCAACAGCGTCTCCCAGCTCCTGAGCCATGGCTTTTCTGTCTGAGCAAAGCTCACAGTAATGTTGCCTTGCTGCACAGGAGAAGGTGGAGAGTACATACAATACCTTATGGCAAAGGGCCATATGTTTTTGTATAACATCCATGTGGGAAACACCTGCAACCCTTTCACCTTGTTTACAGTGCTGCTGTCAATTCACAGAAGACTTTGATCTTCCTATCTATTATCAGCCCCATTTATTATAACCACATAAATCATAAAACATATATATGCTGTTAGGCAATAAGCAAGGCTTTGTTTTCTATGCTGTGGTCTGGTAAAGTACACAAAGATCACCTGTAGAGCCATATGAAAATAGAATATTTTATTATCACTATTTTCTTCAGGGAAGAGCAAAGAACAAAGAAAAAACAAGCCAGTGGGGGGAGAAGGAGAGGTGTACAAAGACACAGAGATACAATGGGAAAAGGCTGATTTCCTTAGGCAATTTTTCCTCAAAAGAAGTTCCTCCATCACTCTGCCTCTTTTGT